TTTTATTTTGGACTGTTATTAGTTTATTAATAAAATATCAACTTTATTTCCTAAAATCCGATGGCATTACATAGGGTGCAACTTGACTCTATTTTCATCTAAAGCTCATAGGAGATGTGAATGTGGGATGTTGGTTTACTTAGGAAGTCAGGGCAGACGTTGAAAGCTTCAACCTTCATTTACTGGGATATTCATCATCAAACCTGTGAGTTCTGACGGCCCCACTTTTAATGCTTTGTTTATTGTTTTGGGGGAAAAGCATGAGATTAAGCAAACTATGCATGTTATTTGTTTGAAACCTTTGGACTAAAGAACTATTTAGTCAAGCTTTATTTGAAACCTTTGGACTAAGGAACTGTTTAGTCAAGCTTTGTTTGAAACCATTGGACTAAGGAACTGCTTAGTCAAGTTTATTGTGTCATGAAATATTGACTGTTATTGCACTTTGAAATAAATGCCAAATTGATGTGCTTGGGAGTATATTTTCCAAATAAAGTCTCCGTCCGTAAACGCTACTTGTTAACTCGGATACATCCCCGGGCCGTGGTATTGTGGATAGCCGTTATTGTGTTGACAGTCCCACCCAGAAAGGGGTGCACATTACCTATGTTTTATTGTCTAATCATGTGGAATTTGGACCACAACTGAATTAGTACATCTATGAACTGTGGGACCTAAGTAAGTGTACGGGCTACTTTTGGTCGTTCGTAAAATAATGGGGCAAGTTGGTCAAGTAAGGCTCAGTAGCGTCTCAAGTTTTTACATCGTGAAAGATTTACATTTATTTAGTGCAAAAGATTCGCATAAGTTTGCAAATATTTGGTTTGTGCATTAAATTGTTTTATGCATGTGAAAACCCGTGAGCTCACCAACTCTTTGTAGTTGACTCGTTTTTTGTTCCATGCTTTTCAGGTTACAAGTAAGAAATGAAGTATTTTGGGAGCATACTTGTGGAAAACTGATTAAGTTCGCAATGAAAGCTTTTGTAAAAGAAGTATTTGTCATAAATTTGGTTATGATGTTGAACTCATTTTATTTTTGAAAAATTAAAAAGTCTTATTTATTAATTGTTGATGTGATTCGCTTGCCTGTTACATCTCGTGTTTCCGCTTTAGCGAGGTGTGACAGATTTGGTATCAGAGCTTCAGTTATAGAGAACGCTGGTTTTCTTTACAAACCATCGACTATAACCAAAAATTTTCAAAATGGTTTTCAAGTAACTTAGAATCATATGATTTTAAAGCGGGTCACGTTATTATATGTTGATTAAACAAAGTCTGATCACATGTGTTTAACTTACATATGATAAGAAGAACTTAATCGGTTGTACTAGAGATATGCTCCCGTAAGGAAATTGTTATGAAAAGCATGATTTTATGTGTTATACTCACTATGAATATCCATTGCCCTAGAAGGACCAGAGATGATGGGTAGAAACCCTTATTCTGTTAAGTGTCCATGTTGGGCTAGAAGCTCCGGTTAGAAGGACCAGAGGCGATGGGATAGAAATTCTATAAAATTTCTAAGTGTTTAAGTGGCATCAGAAGCTCTGGTTAGAAGGACCAGAGGCGA